CGCAATGATAATACCAACATGGGCCAGTGAAGCGACGTCCTCCACAACTAGACTGAAGAACAAAAGGACAGCAACTTGTCTGTTCCCCTTCCCCAACTCCCCAATGCTGTTCCACTCCCTAAATTCCCCAATAAAATCTTAAAAAAAATAAAATAAATAAAAAAATAAAAATACTAACAATCTAGGTATCTATAAGAGGCTGGTTAAAATACTAAGGTACATTTACACAATGAAATACAATATAGCATAAATAAAGAATAAAGAAGGTCTATTAAGTAATAAATATATGGTAAACAATATGTATTAATATAATACAATCTCATTAAAATTTTATGTGTGCACATTACACTTGTGCATATATATGTTTATATATACACAGGAGTGATTCTGGCACCATATATAAAACAAAATACTTCTGGAGACTGGGATTATGGAAATAGAGGTGGAATGGGGAGAAAATTTCAAGTTCTACACTTGGGCTGTAACTTTTTTTTTTTTTACAACCAACATCTGTTACTTTCAAAATAAAAAATCTCAGAGGTATTTAAAATGAAAAAAAATCCTTCCTTAACCAATATTAGCTTTTTATTGGGTTGTTGGAAAAGTCATGACACATAACGAAAAACATAGAAAAAATATGTCATGACTTTTCCAACAACCCAATAATTAAAAAAGATAGCCATTCCATTGAAAACAAAGATCCAACTATTATGCTGTTGACATGAGACAGATTGAAACCAAATTATCAAAAAAATAACGAAGCCTTTTAGGTAAAAACAAACAAAAAAGCAAACAATATGACAGCACTGATGTTAACATAAGATAAAATAGCATTGAAGACCAAAAGCCTTAAGCAAGACAATGAGGTTTTGTAGTCATAACTATAAAAGGTAAAAGGCACTAATAAGACATAGTTGAGAACATATAGGCACCAAACATCTTAGTAGCGACAAATATAAAGCAAAAAAATCTTACAAGAGGCTTATAATAAGTACTCAAATAATGGTAGTTATTTTTACTATTAGAAATGTTCACTACATTTATCATAATAGTGAAAAATTATATAGAGCCTAAACTGCCCAATAATATGGTACATAAATGGTGGAATGTACATATGATATAATACTACACAATTGCATGTAAAGTATCTATAGCTACCTAGCCAAGTTTATATAGACCTAGGGAAGATATTANGCTCTTAACCAACTGAGCCACTCGGCCGGCCCATGTCAGTCTTTTTAATCTTAGCCATTCTAGTGAATGTGTAGTGGTATCTTATTTTAAGTAGTATTTATTTAATGGATCAATGACAGTGAACATCTTTTCATGTGATTATTTGCCATTTACATATTTTCTTTGGTGAAATGTCTGTTCAAACCTTCTTCATGTTTGTGTTATTAGAGGGTTTTTTTTTAAAGAAAAATATGTACATATATTCTGGACACAAGTCTTTGTATTGTATATATAGCCTATAAATATTTCTTCCCAGTCTTTAACTTGACTATTCATTTTCTTAAAAATATGTTTCCAAGAGTTAAAGTTTTAAATTTTATTTTGAAGTCTGATTATATAAATTTCTTCCTTTATGGTTTATGCTTTTGGTCCTAGGTAAGAAATGTTTACCTACCCAATCACCTTCAAAACTTTTTTGCAGTAAGTTTTTTTTAATTGAAGTAACTGACATATTATATTAGTTTCAGGTACACAACATAATAATTCAATATTTGTATATATTGTACCTTCATTTTTGAAGAATACTTTTGCTGGATATAGAATTCTTGGTTGAGTTTTCTCTTCCTTTTAGCATTTGACTGTCATTCTAATGTTTTCTGGACTCCATTGTATCTGATGAGAAGTCATCCATTAACTGCAGGTTTTTGCTACGGTGGTTACCATGAGGCTTACATAAAATAATTCATAGATATAATTGTCTATTTTAAGCTGATAACTTTGCGTACAAAAACTCTACCCTATTACTCCCCACGACATTTTATGTTTCTGATGTCACAATTTACCTTTTTATATCATGTATCCATTAACAAATAATTGTAGCTATAGTTATTTTTAAGTTTTGTCATTTAACCTTTAAACTAGAGTTAAGTGATTAACATAATACGACCATATTACAGTATTTGAATATTCTGAATTTGACTATATACTTACCTATACCAGTGTGTTGTATATTTTCATGTTAGTAATTAGCATCCTTTTATTTCAGCTTGAAGAATTCCTTTCAGCATTTCTGGTAAGGCAGCTATAGTGGTGATGAAGTCCTTTAATTTTTGTTTGTTTGGGAAAGTATTTTTCCTTCATTTCTGAAGGACAACTTTGCCAGGTAAAGTATTCTTGTTTGGCAGTTTTTTCTTTCATCTTGGAGTAAATCATCCCACTGTCTCCTTGCCTGCATGGCTTCTGCTGAGAAATCCACTAATAGCTTTATGGGGGTTCCCCTATATATGAAGAATTTTCTTTCTCTTATTGCTTTAAAATTTTTCTCTTTGTATTTGATTTTAGACAGTTTATTATAATGTGTCTTGGAGAAGATAGTTTTGGGGTAAAATCTGCGGGGGCGAGGGAGACTTATGAACTTCATGATCTTGGATATACAAATCTCTCCTAAGATTTAGTAAGTTCTCAGTCATTATTTAGTTAAATAAGCTTTCTGCCCCATCCTCCCTCTCTTCATCTGGGGCTCCAACAATAATGTAGACTATTTCTCTTAATAGTACCCCATAGTTCACATAGGCTTTCATCACTCCTTTTCATTCTTTTTTCTTTGTTCTTCTCTGACTGGATAATTTCAAATGATTTGTCTTCTACTTCACAGATTTTTTCTTCTGTTTGATCCAGTCTGATGTCAATGCTCTCCATTATATTTTCATTTCATTCATTGTATTTTTCAGCCCTAGAATTTCTGTTTGGTTAGTTTTATGATTTCTCTCTGTTAAACTTCTCGTTTTCCTTATTGAATTGCCTTTCTGTGTTTTCTTGTAGCTCACTGAGCTTCCTTCAAACAACTATTTTGAATTCTTTATCAGGCAAATCTCAGATCTTCATTTTTTGGGGTCAGTTACTAGAAAATTATTGTGTTCCTTTGGTAGTGTCATGTTTCCTTGTTTTTTCATGTTCCTTGAAATCTTGCATTGCTTGTCTTTGCATTTGAGGAAGCAGTTGGTAAGACTGGCTTTTGAAGAGAAATACCTTCAATCATAGGGATTCTGAGGCTTTCTCAGACCTTTTTTTAAAAAAGATTTTATTGGGGAATTGTGGGAGGGGAACACTGTTGGGGAACTGGGGAAGGGGAACAGACAAGTTGTTGTCCTTCAATCTTAGTTATGGAGGCACAACAAGCTCAGCTCCAAGTCCAGTTGCCATCAGGCCATCTGTCGGCAGCTCAGGGCACCTCAGCTCAAGGTGCCGTGTTCAATCTTAGTTGTGGGTGGGCGCAGCCCACCATCCCATGCAGGAGTTAAACCGGCAACCCTCTTGTCAGGAGTACATGCTTTCACCAGCTGAGCCATCCCGCCACCCTTCAGCAGCTCAGCTCGGGCGCAGCTCACTGGCCCATGTGGAAACCAAACTGGCGACCCTGCCGCTCAGATCCCGTGCTCTTAACCAACTGAGGCACTCGGCTGGCCATTTCTCAGGCCTTTTGTATGCATAAACCTGCTCCACACTTCTTATTCCCTCATGTGGGGCAATTCTAAAAATAGTATGTTTTCTCGTGATCCGGCAAAGCCAGACTGGGTGCTGCCAGTCTCCTGTTTGCTTGCTTTCCCAAGGGTGGCACCAAATGTTCAAATTTGTGCGCTTTCTCCCAATCCACAGAGTCAAGCTGGCTTTCTGTGCATGCTTGCTACCTTTCGGCAAAGGCTTCTTCTTACCACCATCAGGGCGCTCAGAGGAAACTGGCCACAGGGTGGAGGTATATAGGGGTGAGGTGTGCAGAATGTTGGGGTGCCCATGGACCAGTTGGGGGGATTTACAGGTGAGAAGTCCCCAGTCGGTCATTGGCAGACTTCCTAATAGTCTGCAGAGCAGTCAGTAGGATTCTACTCCTTTGATGCCATCTGAGAGCCCTGGTTGCTATTCTCTCAGCCACTTCCTGGCCCCCAGTCATAGAGCAAACCTCAGTATTCTGAATGGGATTGAAAAGCAGGCCTTTTGGGCAGCACTCTGAACAACTGGAGTAGCCAGACACTTACTCCATGCTCTCACTTTCTGCCATGGGAGAAATCTTAGGCTGAGAAGGTCTCTCTTGGCACTAAGCTATGCTACCTTGGAGGAGGAGTGACATAGATGAAGTGAAACTGTTCCTCTTACCTTCTTCAGTGTGTCGCAATACGCGATTTTTTTTTTTCTCTAGCCAAGTGCTAGAACTTCTCCACTGAACTCTTGGACTTCCACAAAGGCCCTCTCATCTGTTGGTGAAAGTCTAACTTGGTGTGTTCTTTGGGAGAAGTCAGTAGAAAACTCTTTATTTTGCCATGTTGATGATGTCACTCCACACATCCCTGCAGATGTCCAGCATGGATGGTCTCTTTGTTCTCCTCTCTCACGTCACTGACATGTCTTTGTCTCCTTAGAATCAGATTGTCAGTTCCTCAAAAATCCTGTTTGAGATTTCGTTCCATTCACAGACCAATTTGGAGAGAAGTAACATTTTTAGTATATTATCTTCCAATCATTAACATAGTTGTTCCATTCATTTATTTAGGTCTTATTTGTAATTAAAGTTTTAAAATGTTTTCTATAATAGCTTTAAAAGATGAACCCTTGAGTAAGGTCCAGAGTGAAATAGCAGGCAGTTACTGGTGTCTGTTTACCCAAGGTGGATCAATGTTATTCTCAGGATTTAGGGAAGTCAGCACAAGGATCAAAAGGCTGAGAAGTTGAACTTATCTTCCAGAATGTTTTTAAGGACAAATGTAATATTTGTAAGCAAAAGTACTGTAGAGAATAGAGTAAATGATAATGGACACTCACCCCAGCTTTAATGTAAATAGGAGAAAATATCCAACCAACAACACAGAGCAGAAATGGAGCCTGAAACCAAGAAGAACAATTACATCACAGTCCCATCTAGGCCACGCTCTTATATGAGATGCAAGCTCAGTTACTATCTGTTATGAGCCTAACTGAGGTATCACTACCGGGAACCTTATAAATAACAGCCTAAGCATACACCTTCCAGTACAACAAACTTAACTTATAGGCACTTGATCTTTACCTATAAAGGGATGCATTCTTAATTGTGGTGGGTTACCTGAGACAGTTTTCAAGGTATTTATTTTTAACTTATTGTTTGCTTACTTCTAGATAGAACTGAAGGTGGCTTATAATTAAATATGAAAGATAGTTTTAAAAAAAGCAAGAAAAATCAGAAACCATTCAGATAAATGGGAGAAAAACTATAGCAAAATTTCAAATAAGTTATTGAAATTAAGTAAAAAAATTGGCTCTGGCTTTCTTTACAAAGAAGAGGTAAAGTAAGTTGAATATATGAAGGAGATGCTAGTGAATTCTGAGAGGAAACAGTGGTAAAGACCAGGGCTTTGTATTAGGTTTGGAATTGACTCTGCTAGAAGTATTCTTTATTTTTATAGTCTATAAGAAGAAAGATGAGACTCAGGATGTAGGGAGCTTTCTGATTTATCCCCTCCCCTCAAAAAAGCCAGATGATTTATATAGAGATAGATGAATTAACATAAAACTTAAAATTTAGGTGAACAAATTCTATGTCCTACAACAAATATATACCACAGACTAAATAAATAATTCATTTTATAAGTTTTATAGTTGAAACCTGGTATTCCTAGGAGATCAGTTAGGAGTTTTGCAGTAGCTAGTTACATATCTCAATGAGCTCAGTTAAGCCAATTATCAATATATACTGCAAATATATACATATAAATAAATGCATGCATATGTACACATATATATATACACACATATATACATACAGATACAAATATAAATATATTTGTATCTGTATGTATATATATGTTTAATATGTTAAATATACACATATATTTAAATGTTAATATGACCTTTTCCCTGCCTGACTAGTCTCCTAACAGTTCTTTGTTTACTGTAGTCCTGTGGTCCTTAAATGTAAAATTAATTTACTAAGAAGAAAGAAAACTAGCACAATTTTTTTTGAGAAATCAAAGACTCAGTTCCTTTCTTCCATGACTTCTCAAGAAGTCTTTAATATTTACTCAAGGTTGAAAGCAAGTTTTATGTTTATGAGTTTATTTGGACAATGATAAAGGTAGAGGTTAGTTGCTACAAAAGGTATTACTTACATTCCACTCGAAGGCCCCTACAGCAATCCCTGAAGTCGCTGCTGTCCCAGCCAGGCCCATAAAGTGGCTAGTGCCAATATTTGAGGCAAAAAGAGAAGCACCGATCTGATAATCAAAAGACGACTCTATTTCAGAACTTTTAGTCCAAATCCAAGAATTAATTTTCACAAATCTAAACTCAAACTGAATTTTACAGTTTCTCAAAAGGAAATATTCCCTGGTCAGAATTTCCATTCGTGTCTCTTCTATACTAAACCTAACCATAAATTAGAAGCCAAGGGGAAGGGGGAGAAAGTGAAAAAGGTAGAATAGCCATTCTTATGTTACCACCCTCCACAAGCTCCACTGACTTACTTGCAATTCCCTAATGCAGAAATATTAGGAGGAGTGTAATTTCATTAGTATTTAGAAATAGTTTAAAAATACTGGGCCGGCTGAGTGGCGTGCTGGTTAGGAGTTGGCCTGGGACATTCTGAGCAGCAGGGCCCCAGTTCGGATCCTGCTTGGGCCAGTGATGCTGCGCCCTCTACAGCTAAGGTGATGAACAACAGCTTGACCTGGAGCTGGGCTGCCATGAGTTGTGGGCGACTGCGTAGGCTGCAGCCCCTGCTGCAGTAGGCTGCAGCCAGCGTGAGTGGCCGGCAGCCGGTGTGACCTGCCAAGAGCCGCTGTGAGTGGCCATCCAATGGCCGGCGAGCAACTGCCTCACCTGAGAAGAGCGCAATGATAATACCAACATGGGCCAGTGAAGCGACGTCCTCCACAACTAGACTGAAGAACAAAAGGACAGCAACT